GCATTGTCGCAATCATTATTCGGCTTTTTGCCCTCTCTTTTTTCAACTTCAACAACGAAGTGAGCATCTCACAATACGCTAAATACAGCTGAAGTTTGAGTACCATATAAATGGGTAATGGTTATTGGAGTGTTTCGTAATTTCAGCGATACACAGCTAGTCACAAAGGAATGTTATGCACTCGGAGAACCGAAGTGAAGTTAATAAATTCGCTTTAGCAGAATTAATAGTAGAGCTGGTATTCTTTTGATCGGTCATGCATTACAAGCTATAAAATCGTTTCACTTGTCACGTGATGCTTCTAGGTTTAACCTGGATACATACAAACCGAAACGCAAATGATAGTGTTTGGAAAATGTCAGGATAAGGCATCATGCAGCCCGTTGGAAAGACTGAATCCTGCGGGTTCGAATACGCCTGTCCAATAGTGTATCCCAGGACGCATAAATGAGCTGCCTGTCAAACCCATTCCATCTAGGACCACCGGAACCTGAAATGCAACCGTTCGGAGATTAGTAGGTGGGCTAGATTCAGTAAACCACAGCCCACAAAGCACGTTTGAATGTGTGCAGTCCGTGGAACACGAGAACCGACAAGGAATGGAAACTTTCTCTGAGGTTGTCGTCCTTCCGTACGCTTAAGCATCTTGCATGGAGAGGGCAATTCATTCGCTAATTAATTGAAAGGAAAGTGGTGAACCATAGGAAACTTGTTTATTTCGGGATGGAGAGGGGATAGAAAAACTGAACGCAACCCCCAAACGAAGAGATTTATGAACTACACCTTTTCTCATCAAACTTTAGGCAAAATTCATGTTCGTTTAGCCAAAACCCGAAATGCTTTAGCCATAAACCGTATTCTTATAGCCTCAACTCAAAATTTAGCCACGCCGCAGCAGGCGAGCCAGATCAAAAAGTATCGGAGTATTCTGAAGTCAACATATGTTGAAAAAATTATTTTCTATAAATGTTGATACTGCAGGGCTTGGATAAGAAATAAGGTGTGTGGGTTGCGTACTGCAACGCATGTCGATGGAGAAGGTTAAACCGACGTGTCCGTATCGTCAAATCATTTGGCACATCTCATACAGCTTCACTGTTTCGTATAACATGCGATACTCCTAGGAGTAAAAGTCTCAAGTGTAACTCTAACGGTACATTATTCTACATTCAAATATGTCGAAAACAGAGTTCATTTTAAGTGGATATACGAAACGGTAAGCATATACCTTTTGATTTATTTCAAGGCTTATGAATGCAAAAACAGTATATCTTTTGAGTCACACTTCAGATTTTTACTGTTATTCAGAAACAGTG